AATGTCTTATTTATGAATATTCCTTATTTCTGCTCTGATACAATGTCTGAAGAATGTCCTATGAGAGTGTAAAAATTTTAACAGACAATTCACTAACGAATCAAACAAAAGGTAACATACAATGTATAGGTGATATATCATTAGGCATATAGCTAGCAATTGAAGCATTTGCAAATAACACAAAATTACAATGGTAATCTAATCTCACTGTTGTATAGATTAAGACCTAGTCATCATCATTTTGACAAATTCTTCATAATTCACTTGTCCATCACCATCCAGGTCAGCCTCTCGGATCATCTCATCTACTTCTTCGTCTGTTAATTTTTCGCCTAAATTTGTCATAACATGTCGTAATTCAGCAGCACTGATAAATCCATTACCATCTTTATCAAAAACACGGAATGCTTCACGAATTTCCTCGTCGTTATCACCATCTTTTACTTTTGAAGACATCATGGTTAAAAATTCAGGAAAATCTATGGTTCCATTACCGTCAGCATCGACTTCGTTTATCATATCTTGTAATTCAGCTTCAGTTGGATTTTGACCAAGTGATCTCATGACTGTACCCAATTCTTTTGTAGTAATTGTACCATCACCATCCTTGTCAAATAAACTGAAAGCTTCTTTAAATTCAGCGATTTGTTCTTCAGTAAGTTGATCAGCCATTGTGTTAGTTTGTGATGTTCTACAAATGTTTGTGTTTATCTATCAGGACTATTTTGGTGATTTAGAGTTTGATCTGTAAATTATAGGTAACCTACCTAAACTAAACTACCTTGACAACACTGTGTGCCATGGTCACGGAATAGAAACAAATGTCAATGGGATTATCCTTTCATTCATAACTATATCATTAACTTAAGTAGCTTAAAAGCATAATACAATAATTATTTGTAATAATTGTTACGTCATTTGTAAACAGATGGCGCTGTGCTTGTGGACTCGATACAGTGTTTCGAAGCTGAATCAAGATTTGAAAGTGTTTGAAAAACTGTTGTTGTAACGACCTCCGTTGAAACACGGGTGAAGATAGTCTGCAAACTTTCAGAAATGATGGTCGGCGTTGCTAAAATAGATGATTTTGTTCCCAATGACGTAACCTCTAATGTTGGTTCGATACACATTGTTGGCGATTCAAACCGGGTAACAGT